ATTCGTTGATCCAACTGTCTCGTTATAGAAAATACCAATAACTGTGTAGGAGGCATTTCAAGGAGAACTGTAAAAACCAATGAACGGCAAGGAATTGCCTGGTAGAGTTACTTTAGGAAGGAGGAAGTTGGCGGATACATTTATTGTTTAAAAGCGGTAACACGGACGATACTTGTCAAAGTAGAAGAAGCCTGCAGAGGTAACGGCAAATCAAAGGTTAAATCGCTACCAATTCAATTTATTCGATTAATAAATGTTTTGCCACTCGATTTCAAGTGTTCCTCACTGAATAAGAGAAAATTTCACTACTTGATATCAAATACTCCGCAGTTTAATGGCTTATGGGTGTAGATTTAAAAAATGAAATACTGTTTTATTTACATTGATCACGTGTCTTCTACAGAAAGTAGTACAACAAGCGACATTCACCCGTTTCCAGTGTTGCGAAAGGGACCACGAGGTCTTCATTGCAAACACGACAACCCAGACGTAATCTAACATCGTGAGATTCGTTACCTGTCAATTATATATTCTTGAATTTGACTCGCAGGTTGGGACAAAAAACGTCACGACTTAAATATGTTAAACTTTCAAAAATTTTATAAATTAGAGAAAAAATTTAAAAATTTAAAAAATCATAATGATGCAATGATGAATGAATGTACAGAGTGTTATGCGTCGGTTTTACGTATACCAAATATCCTTGTTTGAATTCAATGTCAATATTCAAAAAACGTATTCTTGAGGCATATTTCTGTTCAATCTTCAGCATCAGGCCATCATCGTTGTTGTTGATCTTGTTAATAAAATCTTATTATCTTATCTTATTATCTTAAATCTTATCTTAATAAAATCTTATCGATTTTATTAACAAGATCAACAAGATTCCGTTTCACTCTAATGATCCTTACCAATACAAAATGTCTGCTTTCCGTGCCCTTATTCAGAGGGCCTTTCTCTATTGCAGTAATGTGGTGGATAGGCAAAAAACGCTTAATAGAATATTACATATTGCCTGATCTCTAGGGTACAGATCAGTTATGATAATAACATTGATCAGAAATCACAAAATAAACAAAACTAAGGCGCAAAGCAAAGATTTCGAAAAAATTACAAAGTTCACGTATGATAGAAAGAAAAAAGCCATCATGAAAGAAATCTCAGCCCGCAAAAAGTCCAAGTTAGTTTTCGAGAGAGTTCCTAACCTGTACAAATTATTAAGGAACGACAAAGACAGCATAGATAAAGAAAAAAAGGGCAGGAGTGTACAGGATACCGTTTAAAAATCGTGAACTAGACATTAATAAAAATTACATTGGTGTCACTAATAGAAGCTTAGGAGTCAGATTAAAAGAACACAAATACAATATCAGCAAAAGATCTAACGCCACAATACTATCGCAATTGGCAGAAGTTGAGGGCTCAGTCGGCAAATGGGACGAAGCGAGTATTATTAAATCAGTACATTCACCGACATTGGCGATTTACGCCGAAAAAAATTAAAATATATAAGAGCAGGTTACACGATGCGTCCATTAATTCTAGAGATTCGAAAGGGGTGGCCTTCGGCCTGGAAATACTTAAATAAACAATTAGAAAGCTTTTTTTTTTTAATTAAATTTCTTATGACTGCTGTATATATATATTGTAAAGTCTTTGTAAATCCAGGTTTAACAGTAGTATGAGTAGTATGTACTGGAGAAGTAACTTTTGCAGTTTTTACTTGTTTTATAACAGTCGAGGATCTTCCTTTTTGTAGTTTTCTGTGAATAATTTGTTTTGTAAATGAAAACAAAGTTGGAAGGCATTATGCTTTAATTTCTTATTCCCATCAATTCTCACGTGTTCCCATATTTATAGTTCAAAATGAACTTTACGCAAACAACAATTCTTTGTAGTTTTCCTATTTTCTTGGCGCACTTTTTTAGCCCAAATTTTTCTCCGAACGGGATCTCTTGAAAAACATTTCACGTTATATCCTTTTACAGAAAAATTAGAACAACCCTAAGTTGAACATCCAGGCATTATTTCGGTGATATCTGCATAATAAAATTAAAGGGTATATTCTAAAACTGGATTAAAAACGACTTTTAAGATGCATTTAATACATTCAGCAGAATAACAATAATATGTAAAATAATCATTTGTATGATGAATTTTTATATGATGAATTTTTAAATTATTTGGTATTAGCTTTACCAAATAAATGCTGCAAATGCTGCCTTTCAATAAGGTCCAAAGTACTAGTGTGTCTTTGTATTGTTATTGTACAAGATGCATTAAAGAAATCTTACAAGTAATAGAATTAAATATGTTTTGAGCAGAATAACAAACTGATTTTTTAGGTACTACAGTATATGTAAATGCTTAGTTTTATTGTAAATAATACTTTTCTATAGCAGTATTTTTATATGTTTAAGAATTGTGACAATTTCTCTTTCATCTATATAATTTATTATGTTAGAACAAAACTACAGTACAGCATAATTATTACAGTACTCCAGTCAGATAAGCTTTATTTGCTGGAACAATAATTTTTAAGTTATTCTAGCAAAAGAAATATGCAAAATATAAGTATTTAGGCTTAGATAAATACAAAAAGTTCTTTAAACAAACACATTCTTCGTGGATGGACTGTTATCTAAGGAAAAATAATTTCGGAAAATTTAGTAGAAAATCAAATTTTGGTTATATTTTGCTATTTTACACTAATTTTTGTACTTATTTTTGTATTTATTTTTGTACAATACAAAAACACTTTATATATATTTCTTCGTTTTAATAACATTGCTTAAACGGATATCGGATCTAATGTAAACAGCTACGCTAACTATCGATTTTTTTCATTTGTTGCCTTATATTATAGCTTAAATATGAATGTAAACATAAAAGTATAGCAAATTCATGCTTACCTGTTGTCAGATGTGTTCAAAATCTTCTAAATTTCTTTATAAACAACTTTTAAAAAACACTTACGATTCAAAATATACAGTGCCACGCGCACTTTTTGTCAGAACATGGCGGATTTTAACCACGTAATACAATTAACCAATATAAAATTTGAGAACCCATTGTCGCTACTCTGATAATCTAGGTAAAGTACTTTAAGTGCCACTGGTTGATTTCTCAACCTCAGAAAAACTCTTATCGAATAATTAATGCCTTGTACACCCACCCGTAGGACTAGTGAAACTATACGATAGAAACCGTAAAGGCCTTTCTTATAATTTCAAACCGAGTATCAAAGCTAATGTATTAAAAACCGTTTTTTAAAGCAAAATACTCGACAGAAGAAGCAAAACAGACAAGTCCTAGAAATAAATAAAAGAAATTTGTTGGGAACGAGAAATTATTTTTCTTGTTCGTATTGTTTATTTTTTTTAAAATCTGACAACACAGTCTCCACGTGTAACTAGAGATTGCTTGGAAATTCTTACTAAAGTAACGAGAGTGGTGAAAATGTAGAAAATTTCGCCATTATCGCGTATTTATTTTTAAGAATAGAAATTTAACGTTTCGTTCGATTATATTACCAAATTGATTCGTAATACTCGTACCACAAGTAAAGCGCTTTGTCCGTTCGGCTTGTGTATTATCATTATTTTATTTCGTTTGTTTTTCTTTTGGCCAAGTTTACGAAAGAAATGGTCACCATATTGCGAGTGTATTTAGCGAACCAAATAGTAATTTCCATTTTATTCAGAAATTTGCAGATTCTTGACGCTAAAAGAACCCTTTGTTCTCCTTTCAATTTACGTTTCAACTTTATTATTATTATTATTTTTTTAAATTCAGCGCTCTCAATCTACTTTTTCTGTTTGTATTTTCTTAGCATAAGGTTGCCATTGAGAAATTACTTTTTCTGTTGTAAAATGTCTTGAAAATCTTTTAAGGAAATTACGCTTTTCTCTACTAAAATTTATTGAAGCGATGTTATTTATTTATCAACTATTTGACGAAGTACTTTTCATTTCTCGAAGCACTAATACATCTTGTAACTAGATCTTCCCTGTTTAAAGCGCAGCCATAGCTTCCAACTCGGGTGAAATCTTTACGGGGTGCTAAATTATAACGACTCCTCACTTCGTATATGTATAAATAACTGGAGATGGAAGCCAACAGTGGACGAAACATTTCCATTAGCAGCTGGAAGCCTACCCATGTCACGTCTCGGGATGTTAGTCATACGGCGAGAAAAAATTTGTTAGTAACTAAAGAGTAGATAACCCAAAAAAGTTCTTTTTATGTTTTTCCTGTGTAAAAATATTTTGGTGTTTTTTGGCCAAGTAAAAATATGTGTTGTGCTGTAAATATTTAAGTAATTTTGATATATATTGGAAAGATAAATCATTAAAACTAAAATTTTAAAGACAGCGTTTTTGAACTTTAAAGTGTTCGACCCTGTTCATTTAGTGAGATGCAGATAGAAAATTAAAGGGTAAATATTTTAAAAAAGTATTTATTAAAGGCGCATTATATGTAGTCTGTTTCATTTATAGAATTATTATTGTTATTGGGCTGTAATTTGAAAAATTTGTAGACCTATAAATTCCTCCAGTAGTCGGTCTGTCCGACTGTCATTCCTTACTGTCGAGAAAAGTGTTAGATAGATGAAATTCGAAACCAGATGCGGAAATCATAGGAATAAATTAATAATGGTCTCATAATTTCACTTCTACCATAATATTTTTAAACTATGTCGACCCCGCACCTTTGTAAAGACATTTCAATTAACAGCTATTTTACACTGAAGACACAGAGAAGGAGCGATAGAACTGAAACGATATGCCAGTTGTTCTCTTTCAAAATATGTGAAGAAATAGCTGAAATTCTACATTTTCAAACGTAGATAAACAGCCAAATACCAATAGGTCATATCTGGTCGTATTGATCAGAAGTATGAAGATCACTTATGAAAATATACGAGATTTACATTAAATAAACTGATGTTCATCATAAAACAACTTAAAAGCTCTTTCAGTCTGACTATATTTTTACTGATTATGTTTATAATATAGAAATACTTCTCAGTATCGCAGGATTTAAATAACAAACATTGAAATTCTAGCCAAATTTTTATGCAAATTATAACATTTTGTACACTAAACGTTCATTGGTATAATATGGTAAAGTTGCAAATTGAAGCCAATGAAAATCGCTGACACTGGACAAGAAGAAAAGTATAAAATTCAGTATTTCGAGAGCCTACAAAAAGACATTTCAATAAAAATCTCAAACCATCTATTTGTATTGTGCTTTAAGATTTAAAAAAGTTTAATTAAGCAACGACTTACAAATGCAATAATTCTCGTCGTCATTAATTCTGGTCATTGCAGAAAGGCAACGATCAAATAACCACTGGATATGGCAAAGAGTAGAGTGAGTACGATATCCATCGCAAATACCTGCAACAATATAAAAGCATGTGTGTGTAGTGGTTACGCAATATCTGTTATTTTGTATTGTAACTCGAGACGTACGGAAATTTCCAAATTAAAGTATGTACGAAGTGTTTCGAAGGCTCGAAAGAAATACGACGCCAAGAAGACAGCCACAAAAAACAAAACTAAATAGGCAAACGGATTCGAAGAATTTTAACTTGGAGTAATCGCCACAATATTTGATATTACAGTATTATTGTATTATTTATTATTAATTTTTCAATCTTTATATAATTATTATATTTAACAAGATANAAAAATCCGCATATAAAATAGTACGACATTTGATTGCTAATAACTCTGATTAACTCTTTTAGTGAATACTACAAATTTAATATAGAGTTTGTATACTTTTAACGTAACTATTAACTAAATTTTATTAAAATTTATTAGATGCCACTCCGACAGTTCCCTTGTTAGTAATAATTTAATTTCAATAGCCCCATAAGAAATCTTTCCGTTAATCCATTCAAATTTCGTAGATTCGAATTTTACACGATGACAATTAACCGAATATTTTATCGTTTGCATTAAATTCTTGTTAATTTCTGAGAGATTCCAATATAAAAGCGTTTAGTAAAGTTTGTATTAAAAGCGATTAGAAAATTTCATGAGAGAGGAATGGCGATAAAAACTTAATAATACGAAAATTGACACCGACCAGCTGCACGGTTCTTAAGATTCGATACGACGTTTAAAAGAAACTTTTTTTGCCATTTTCAAATCTTTTACTTTCTCGTCGACTAATCAAGTACCATTTTATTGGACGAAAGTAGTTTGAAAATATTCGTGACGTCGACGTTACGTTCTTTTCGCAATGACGTAAATCGACGTATCGAACGTTCAAATCTAAATATATAAAATTACTTGTCCTGACTGACTGATTAATTCATCATCGCCCAGAGCAAACCGCTGAACCTAAAGTAGTGAAATTTGGTACACAGTTAGGGTACGATATGAAAACACACGCAAAGAAGGGATTTTTCGAAATTCTTCCCGCGAGTGAGAGGGAGAGGTTTAAGGCTTAACCTGAAGAACGGCTTCTACTGTACTATTTTAGATGCGATTCTTTTTTCAATTACGTTTAGTCTTCATTTAGTACTTAGTACGAATTTAACCCCGTTTAACTTCATCTTTTAAGTACATTTTCCCGAAATTCCAAATAGCAAATTCACAATCAATGAATATAGTTACTTTATTATCCAAAACAATATTAATTTACAAATATTAAGCTCATGTAATATGCATAAAGCACTTGCCTGCATGCAATTCAAAGTGTTATACCGTGAAAAATCTATAAGTACCTAATTTTTCACATGTATCGACTCGGATTTTATCATTTTTAAACTGTACTTTCTTAATTCTAATAAGCCTCCTTCAGTAGCGGAGTGCTTAAATCCACCGAACTCTGGTAGTTAGTTAGTCGTGGGTTCGGGCATGGCCAACAGGCAGGCCACTTATAGTTTTCCGGGTTTTCTTTATCTAAATTGGGTCCAGCTTTCCATAAAATTAATTCTGGGATGCATACTCATAGACAGACCGCTCGAGTGTTTCGTTACAGCAACCAAATAAACCAAACTAATTCTTACGAGCGATTATTTATTGTGAAGCTTTCGCCATCTGGTCTCGACATTCATGTATCTAACACCTTTTCCGAGATTGAATAAGAACAGACAGCCAGACACATAGATGGACAACAGTGAAAATTTATAGGTGAACAATTTTTTTCAAATTTGTCACAATTTTTCTATAAACGTGATATTTACGAGAACATACTTCTCACACATTTTATACAATATGTGGCAAAAATATAAACACTTTACTATAACATAAAATAATTAATACCCAACTAGACTCTTTTTAACCTACGCTAAAACACCTTATCTCATTGAGATTTATTTATTAATCGTAACGAACGTTTTCAATCTCTTCTACAACCCATCTTCAAGTTTTTAAAAATCAAGGAATGTTGATAACTGTTTCTTTTTGTATTGAACATTTAAGAACATATTTAAAATACAAAATTGTATGGAATATTGAGCTATTTGAATCCAAAGACTATTTTACAGTAATATATATAATTTAAAATAACAAAATAAAATAGATGAAAACGTTGGGTAAAGTTAAAAATGTTCGTTACGGTTAATATTTCGTAAATAATTCTCAATGAAATAAGGCGTTTTTGCTTAGGTAGAGGAGAAGGTGGTATTATGTAACCCCAATTACAATTTAGTAAATTGTAAACAAGGTATCATAACTACACCCACATTTTTTGTGCGAAAAGTACTGGTAACTAGTAAACTAAATCTTCCTAATTGGATTTTTCGCTAGTGTAACTATAAGTATGGTTTTTGAAGGCTTTTGTACAAAAAGTCAGAAAGTAGGCTTAGAGAAAATCGGGTGGTAATATGGAACCTTACTGTATATTTTCAAAAAATGCTTTAATTTATCCAAAAACAAATAGGAAAGTACAAAAAAATATTAAATAATTACAAAATTATTTACTCCAATGTATTTTATCGCAAAAATGCTTTTAAAATAGAAAAATATGACCTCCATCAACAATATATATTCCAGCAGCTCTTTTTCGATATTCTCGGGAAGAATTGACTTTCTACCTAGTGTCTTTTTCACAAATTGCTCAGGACGAATGTCTGCTCGTAAAGAGAGAGTTCGGAGGAGTTGAGTTCCATATTACTGTAAAAGCACCAATGGGGTCCATATTTCACGCATCTCCATCTTGGGTTAACTTAATTCCCGTTGGCACCAAACTTTAAAAACGTGAAAATCACACAGATTAATATGTACCCCCAAGTCTCTGGTCACACAGATTAATATGTACCCCCAAGTCTCTGGAACGGAATACATGCGCCAGTGAACCTACAACTACACGATTTATATTTTAAAAATAATTACATTCACATAGCATTCAAAACTTGCGAATTTAAAAAAAAAAAACAAATTTGGTGATTAAACACGGACAACTGTTTAACTGAAGTAAAACGGGTTTTCCCCTTGTTATGAATGTCTTCCTAGTTCAGTTCAGCCACATTCCGCTACAGTTCGCCTTTATTATCAGTTCGAAATGGGGTGGTTCCATAATACCCGCAGTGTTCCATAATACCACCTTCTNTTCAGTTCAGCCACATTCCGCTACAGTTCGCCTTTATTATCAGTTCGAAATGGGGTGGTTCCATAATACCCGCAGTGTTCCATAATACCACCTTCTCCTCTATAACATAAAAGCAATCATCTCACAGTTTTATAAGATTTTTTATTTAAACGAGTCATACGAAGTTTTTCGGACATTATAATTAGCAACTCGATCACATGCGAAGTTATCTTAACCTTTCCAACACGGATCACTTTTCAAATATTAATAGTAGACCAGTATTATATAGTAGTGGTTGACCATCCTATCTTCCAGAGGAGGTCAACGACTACTTTTACTCGAATTACTTCAACCCCTTTCTTCTGCAACGGCCCTTATTTCGATCAGACCAGCGATCTGGTGACAGTAGAATTGAAAAATTCAAAATACGTGATTATCGGCCAGCACAAAACATGATTTAAGTGGTTTTGCAGGGTGCCAATTTTAAATATTTGGTTTTTCGCGAAATTTGATTCGTTGTCAGATGTCCATTTGATATTCGGCTGTGAATGAAACAGTTTCATAGAGATAACATTCGTAGTTAACAATCAAAAACTATAATATAATATAATAGAAGGGTTAAAGTACGAAAGAATCAGATAATACTAGTATTTATTGTTATTTTTTGTCCGAGCAACGCCGGGCTCATCTAGTAAAAATAAATAAAATAGCTTTTCCTTCTTATCTAGACATAATAGCTGGGAAAGTAAAAGGACATCTAGCATAAAATTTTTAATGCAAAGATTTTTGTGCTGAGGGCCAATCCTACTTTGGCTAAAGAGCAATTTCACACAAAGTACGACTAACTTAACCAATTAGCATCACCGCTCAGATCTTACCGATTCAAAAATCTGCCATTAAGATTTTTAATAAATTTCACTGTTAATCATACAATATACAATACAATGCAGTGTATTCGATTTCCGATTCCTCTATGACGATAAAAAAACAACAGATCATTGCGAATAAATAAGATAACAATTTCCTTTGATTTTTGGATAGGATTATAGCGACACTAAACGAGTTATTGGTGAGTAAAGGAATTGGACTCTACCGGACTAAATGATACACGTACTTAAGACAATGTATTTTAAATTTCAATTTATTAAAAAATAATATTACGAAACATTTCTTGTTCGATTACATAAAATCAAATGTATTTTACAAAATAAAAAAATTACAAATGAAGAAAATAAAACTTCAAACGTTCCTTGTTTTTAAGTTGAATAAAATCTAAATACGAATATTAATACGAATAAATACTTTTGTAAACATTTTCCTTCATAACAAATAGCGTTATTCATTGTTATTATGACATTTGATAATATGATTATTTAAACTACATTTAAAACGGAACTTTTGTAAGCAATAAGTACACGAAAATGGCTTTTCCCCTGTATGCACTCGGAGATGTTGAATAAGATTTCCTTTGTGTGTAAAGCTTCGTTTGCAATGATCACACGTAAAGGGTTTCTCCCCTGTGTGAGTTCGCAGATGTTCAATCAGAGTTCCTTTCAGTGCAAAACTTCGTTTGCAATGATCACAGGTAAAGGGTTTCTCCCCTGTGTGAGTTCGCAGATGTTCAATCAGAGTTCCTTTCTGTGTAAAACTTCGTTTGCAATGATCACAGGTAAAGGGTTTCTCCCCTGTGTGA